GATTCTTCTCGCCTACTTTATATCAGAAAGACTAAACCATGTTGGCTACTACGCAGTGGATATTTCCATTTCTGAGGTAACTAACAGTAGCAAACACAAGTGGATGAAATCCTCTAATATGCCATTAACATGAATGATGGTTGGGCACAAAGCTGTACTTCACTTCATCAGGTAGGATTACACACCAATATTACTGTTCCAGCAATCAGTGAAATTACTCAGCGTCAGGATTCAGATCATGAATAAAACTCTGTCACATCATGATAAAAAAGCCACCCAGTAATCCCAGTACAGCCTGTATATAAGCAGCAGCATGCATGCGTATGGAGACACTATGTACCTACTACTCATTTAACACATTTACCATCTTTAAATTCACTATGCATAATTCTGGATTTTCCACCAAAATCTGCACATAAATGTACATAAAAAAATCTGAAGATTCCTGGTCTTATATTGATTTCTCTGCTATTTTTGTGCAATGAAATTTAAAAAAACATTGAACAGAACTGGCTGTCTGAGTCGTCAGAGAGAATTAAAAGCGGGTGAATGACACATGCTGAGAGACAGTGTTAACTCCCTGTTGATGCGGGGGAGATGGATGAAGAGACGGAGGCGGAGATGAAGTCTCTCACACCTCCCATGTGGTGGCTGTCTGCAGGTGCTCCTCTGCCAGAACTACAGGTGCAGGACAGAGTCACGGCAGAGGACCGCAGAGACGGACCACTTGAAGGAAAAAGAATGGAAGAAATTGCTTGTATTACTTCAGATGTTCAAATACATTCTCCAGAGTTATAAACTCATGACACTATATGATCTACTACATTATTTTGTGGGCTGGATATAGTAATGCAACCACTTATTTCATTATTTGGCTCTTAAAGGGGCACTATATGCTTTTTTACATTTTCAACTTTATTTAGTGTTGCTGTTGAAAAAGGTCTGCAAAGTTACTAAGCACAAAGTCACTCCGTTTCTGAACCCCCTGAAACGCCTCCATCGTAGTCTTGAGTTTTCTTCTGGGAACGAACAAGTCACAATATTCCTCATTTAAATAATTCCCGTCTAAGGCATACGTAGAATAAAGGGGCGGGGCCTGGTTGAGTTAGTTAGCAGAGTGTTGAAACTATATGTTGAATTAAGGGTCGTGACAATTATTTCAAAGCGGTTAACCAATCACAACAAACTGGTGCAGCCGACCAATCAGAGCACATTGCAGATTTTTGGAAGGAGGGAGACTAAACAGAGCGTTACTGCCAGATTGGGAAAAGAGGGGCTGCATCACTGTAATAATATATGAAAAAAGTTGTTTGAAAAATCAAGCATGAAAACCTAATCTAGTAGACCCCATTACAAAATCAATTCTTTGAAAAAGGGTGTAAAAGGTCCAACAACAACAAGTGGAAACGCAGCCCGGGCCTACTACAAGACAAAAGCCTGGGACTAAATTTCTGCTTTGACCCCTTATGAGGCAGAGCTTAGCAGCAAACCCATCAGCGTGATGCTTCACCATACAGAACAGCCGAGGGAAAAGCCTCTTACACTCATATACCTAATAAGGAAAAGCTTCAAAAGTCCAATCCTTTAATACATCTCCTCAGACTGCAAAACAAACCCCTGCTACAGCATAAAAAAAGACTGGCTTTATCAGCGTTAAGCCGCCCGCTCTGTGCACAGCCATCTTCAGGAGAGATTATGACCATTTATGTAAAATCCTTATTTGTGTCCGCCATCAAGTTCTAATGCGGGCTCCCGGGTTGTGCGTTCAGCGATATGAGACGAGTCCCTACATCACCAGACATCACCAGACACTGCCCTCTTTTACGCACATAGCATACCTTTGCAAGATTAAACTCGTCAGCTGGTCGTCAACCAACGAAGCGCAACTTACAAAAGGACAGCAGGTCCAAAAAAGGTACATTCACATGAAAAATAGTCACGCATGGAACAACTCGTTCTCGATTTCAGCCTACGTACAGTATTTACACACAATTTCACTTAGGCTACACATCAACATTTACAGTAGGTGTGCCGGCCATTTCGCACTCTGATTCAATGCCAACTAGAAATGAGAAAATAACACAGCACAGTAAACTTACTGTGAAGGGTACGTCCTAATTGGGTGCAAATGCATCCAAATGCATAAAGCAAAGTGCCAAATAGGAGGAGGACTGGCACAACTTGACAGATGACTAAATGCACCAGGGCTCTTATTAAAGTTTCACTGATAAAACACAACACTTGTAAGCGATCAAATATTAAACCCATTCCCATATATTTTGCAGCGTTGCTGGCGGCACAATGCATATCTTCCTGGTAATATGCTTCATCATTGTGACGACTGAATGTTCTGGATTTAAAATGCAGTCAACATGTTCAAATGAACAAACTGAATCTATTTATACATCCCTAGTGTAATAAAGTAATTGTAGATTATTACAAACAAAAATGTTTCTAATCCTCCATCAAAATGTCATTTGTTCTGATCCTAAAACAACTTTCCTGTTCTGATGACATCATCAATCCCTCTTACTTTACAGAACCATCCCTCCAGACACCTGCCATATAGAGACCATCTCACAATTTTTTTCCTCACTGAATATACTTCTGACATTACAGACGTAAATTATTTCTGTTCACACTAGTTTAAATCAGACTTCTGTTTAGCATTGTAAGTTAATGGAGTAACCGTCCAACATTGGAGGAAGCTCGACAAACACTGCAACAAGTTTTTTGCACTCTCTGATGATGAGCAGACCGCGATAAATATGCATGTTTCACTTTTCAGCAGCCTGCCGAAGTGAAAATGTGTCAAGCATGAATAAATCTACAATCGGGGCTGTGATAGGACACTTAAAAATGCATGAGTTCTTTTTTATGTTCCACCGTTTTTCATTTACACAGCGAGAGAGAGCGGACACAAGAGCCTCTTTATAAGCTGAATATGATTCACTAGATAACAAAAAACTGATACAAGTGCTATATTTGAGGAAAGTATGAAGAAGAACACTGAGGCTCTGTTCCAAAACCTAGTGAGCTGCCTACATAGGCATCAGATCCGACAACAGGGACTTGTTCAACAGTTCATCTATTGGCAAAATTATGAAAAAGAGATCAGTCAAGAATAGAAAATTATTGAAAATATTCAAATCAGGAATGTCATGAATCAGAATGCGTAGTTTGCACAATGTAAAATGTCCGTCAGAATATAATGTACAACACATTTTGAACAATGTTCACTAACACGGTGAAGTTTTTATTGTCTCCTATAACAAAACAACTTCTATTTAAACCCATGAAAATGCAGATCCTGTTGTAAATAATAGTGGGGGGAAAATCACTTTTTAAAACTGTTGTTCCATTATTACACCTTAGTAGGTTTTGACACATATCCAAATTTATATAAAGAGCTGGGCGATAATATACTTGCATTTTGTGAAGAAATAATCAAGCAGATAATCAATCAATTGCGAGTTGAGTTTCCTGTGCATTTCATGTGAAGAACCCTATTTGTGTGAAGCACAAAGTTGCTGTCCATATAGAGCACTCCAAATAAATCACCTATGCGGTTCCATTAGAGTTAGGATGCCGCCTATGTAGACAGTAAACCCCAAGGCAGCTCACTAGTTTTTGGAACAGTGCCTGTTTGTGTCTTTGGCAACTTCAAAGCTTCCATTTTTAGAGCCTTTGCTTAAAAAGCTGAACAAGACACTAAGACATCGCATTTTAGGCCATGTTGGCTTGTGTTTGTTTGTTTTACTGATGGTGTGGTTGGGTTTCAAGGGACTTGTTGACATCTCATAGATGGATATAGATCGCTCCTACGAAAGAAAGGACAGCTTTGATCATTTCTTCAGAGACTGGCCTTAATTGTGAGGAGGATTGATCTGCTCAGAGGAGGTTGACCTTAAGGCTCTGAAGGAGAAGTGAGGGTGGCAGTGACCCTCCTCCACTGACAGGTGGAAAACAGAGGAGGGGGAGGTCAAATCAGAAGAGAAGAACAGGCAAGTTCTCACGTCTCTGCATGATTCAAATCAGTTACAGCCCTTCGGGTATCAAAAGGTATCAGGTACATTGCAAAGTGATGACGATGAGGCCTGATCAGCTGATGTTTCAGCATGAAACCAATGCTGTCGATACGTCTCATTCATTACACTGTTCTGGAAGGACCAATCATGTCCAACATGATCAATGCATCCCAAATAAGATTAGATTAAGATGTTTTCAACGGCTTTACAAGGTCTACACTAAAACAGTTTCAGTGAAGATAAAACAAGAGAAGCACCATTGCACAAGCCAAAAGTTACTGATCAATTCCAATAAGAGGGCTTTAGGATGCACTAGATACTTATTGTTATGCACTGCAGGTTTGGAAAGACATGAGGGTGAGTAATTAATGACAGAATTTACATTTTTGGGTGAACTAACCCTTTAATATGTCAAAGCATGCCGTTTCTGCCCCTGACTTTGGGGAATCTGTCTTTCTACCTCTGCGGATGTCAAATGCATCACCAGACAGCGATGCATTGCTCTGTGCGTGTCATTTTTGATACAGATCAAATGTCAATTAAACAATTCAATACAAGTGCCTGTCTGATTGCCCAAGGGTTTCATGTGCAAGAGGAAAACACAATTGAATCCTGCTGGCAAATCAATAGCAGGCCAAACGACAATATACATATATCATCAAGAACATGATGAAGTGCATCAAAACCTTTCCCACATAATGCAATTCATTTACGACCACTATACCCCTAATGCATTCTCATATTAATAAACACAATATCCAAGCACAAACCACGATCTATATTTATCATCTTCTGTAATTTGGTGGGTGAGTGTTGCTTTGCACAACAAATGGTCTGCATTGTTAAACACAAGGAGTAACGCACAACACAAACAAACCACATGTTTTACCGCTCCATATGGTGGTGAAATACGTGCACAAATATGCAGTGCTGTACACAAACGCGAAGGTATGAATTAAACTGCATATTTACCTATACGAGATCTGTTTCCTGAACGCTAGACCTTTGAGTTTATCCTCCAGCGAGTCTTCCATGTCGGCGAAGCTGCCCAGACTCTCGCTGCCGCTCATCGCCGCGTTTCTCCGGCAGCCTCGTGCCTGATCGTCCGCTGATTCCCCACCGGCAGCTCCTCTGCTGCTGCGCTCCGCCTGAGGTGCGCGTCTGTCGGCCAGGGGGTCCATCATGCTCCGGTCGGCACAGAGTGGACCCCCTCTCTCTCCTCCGGTGCTTAAAATTCCTTCCAAATGTGTCCTCCGATGTCCCTCATGGGATGAATAAAATATATTTATCTATGGGATGAATAAAATCTATCTATCTATCTATCTATCTATCTATCTATCTATCTATCTATCTATCTATCTATCTATCTATCTATCTATCTATCTATCTATCTATCTATCTATCTATCGATTTACTCGATTTGCACAATCCGCGCAACTCTATCCAGCGGAACTACAACAACAGCTGCATCCATCCTCGAGGACATTCTGGGATTTGCCTCCTCATCCTCCTCTCGCAGCAGCATCGGGCATTAAAAGTAGGGCAGAGGGTCTCCGACTGGACACACTCAGGCGCGCGCACGAGTGTAAATGCGTGGTGATCTCTGACGTGTCGTGTCCACTATGACGAGACGAGACGAGACCCAGAAGCCGTATTTACCCTACTGTCTATGGTATTTACACGAGGGTTTAAACCAGACCTGATTGTGAATACAAACCTCTTTGTTCAGGCAGGAAGTACGCAAAAAAAAAAAAAATATAGATCTTTTAGATTTATGGCACTTGTATATTTTTTTATTTAAAACTACAATTAACTATTAATATTATTATTAATATGATCATAATAGTAACATTACCATTAATATTATAATATTCGCCACGCCCACTAACATTTGTTACGAAGGCAAAGCTATTCGAATTTATTCATTAACATATTAATAATATATTGGTCAGGCCCCGAGTATTGATTTTATTTCAAAAGCACTGGATTTTAGTGTTATTATATTATCAGATTAAATCATAGTCTATAATTTTGACCACGCCCCCTAACATTTGTTACTACGGAAAAGCTATTATTATAATTTTATCACATTAAGTCCTATATTAAAATAATATTGGTCAGGCCCCAAGTACTTGATTTGACAGAAAAGCACTGGATACCAGTGTTATTATAATAATATCACATCATACATAGGCTATGATCATATTGACCACGCCCCCTAACATTTGTTACAACGGAAAATATATTATTATAGTGTTATCTCATTGAATCGTATAGGCTATTGTTGTTATTTTGATCACGCCCCCGCATTTTATTTGACAGAAAAATACTGTATGTTAATATTATTGTGATATTATCACATTAGCCTAAATCATTAATATTTTTTCAGTGTTTGTCTCGATATGTCCAGTACACAGCACATTATGCAAAGGTTAACAAGATGTTTGCTAATAAAAAGACCCAAAACACTACATACCTTCACTGCTCTGTAAATTGAGCAACATGAGTTTAACGGCAAGATATGAAACAAGAAGTCATGAGAGTCTGAAGAAGAGAACATGCATTTTTCTTCTAATTCAATTTGGCTAATGTGATTTAAGGTATGAAGATCATCTGAGCTCTCCGATGAGGAGAAAACACCTTTCTTTCGCATAAAACCCTCAAGGACAGGAAAATTGCAATGCAGATCCAGTCTCAATGAAAATAATTAATAGTCAGGCATCAGAGTAGTCATATGATGACATAAAAACACCTCTCTCTAGACATACTTAATTCAACTCAACGTCCAAGAGAGACACAAATAAATCTGGCTAATGTAATATTTTAATTTAGACATGAATAAAAGCTGCAAAATGACGGCTCAGACACATGATTTATAATGCTTTTACTAAGGAAAATATTTATTTTCTGAGCAGAAAACAGGACAAAAACAAGGCAGAGTGATTTCAGGAAGATCATTTTTAAGAGCCTGAAATTGTATTGTGATGCAAAGAATGTGTAACATAATTAAGACTGCAGTCATAAATCACTCATTACACCAAATACAGAGAAACACACCAAGCATGGACGTTGCGTCTGAATGCATTGATCACATCAGGACAAAATCATCTCCTTCAAAATGCTCTCGTTTACAGGATAAAAGGATCGCAGTCATGCTAAAAAGAATAAATAAGAGATGGATGCTACGGGGACACAGTGCAAGGGAGACCATCACATGCCCGGATGCAGATCGCTCAGGACTCAGGTTGTCACAACCGTTCATATCTGGGAAAGAGAACGCTAGAATTGTCAGCGAGCATCCTTTACTCCCAGAAGAGCGCAGACGTGGGGTTGGACGGTGGCCAGCCAGAGACAAAAAGGGCCATCTGTCCTTTAAAGACCTTAAACCAAATAAAAGAGGGCAACAACGTCATACGAGGGACTATGGGCTGGAGAGCATCCGTCCTTTTCATGTCATGTCCATATTGTCCCTCTTTTATTGCCCTCAATGACAAACATCTCCACTGATATCAATCACATTAATTCATATCTCTCCCAACATACTTCCTCCATATTACAATAGAGGATACTGCAAATATTTACATGTTCAGACGTTTTTAAATGCTTTGGAAAATTGCCATCTTCATACTGTAAACACAGCCTATTATTGTTTTATTCTATTTATTAATACAGTCCGATTATAATGATTTTTTTTATGAATCTTTGGATGCCTGAAGAGAACGTAGTTTTGAAAATTGACATGCTACATTGTGTGAATTCAATATATTACTACACATATTCTCAGTAGCATGGGGCAAATAGGCAAAAACAAAAAGCAAAAAATATTCAAACAAAAATTCAAAGCATATAAAATAAAAAAAAGAATGAAAATATTGAAAAACAGTGTACTTGAAGTATCAAAATTTGATTTACTGCTGTAATGGAATAAAAAACATTTTTGGGTTTTTCGTATTTATTTTAAAAAAAGGACTTCTAAGTAAAACAATACTTAAAGTATATAGTATATCTATAAATACAGAGCCTATCGGCCCGCCGCTGCAGGGGAGAGGAAGAGGAGACGTGGAGGAGGACCAGCCGGATCTCACGATGTCTCGTTGACGGTCCTCTCCAACTGTATGACTTTAGCGGTCTCGTTTGACCACTTATCGGACCTGCCAAAAGAAAACAGATTGTTTTACATCCACGCCAAAAACAAACAAAGACGGTGCACTCGTATTACTATGAATGGCAGAAAGTGCAACATGCAATAGAGTGCAACAGTCGGGTTCCGGAGGGGAAAAACATAGGGAATTGATTGTGAACAATAACTTGTAAACCTTCAAAGACAGAACTACTGTGAGCTATGAGGTTGATAATCGATGGTATTTGCTTCTGTGAAAAACTACATTACCCATGATGCTGACAGAAAATTACACCAATCAGAGAGTCGAAAAGCACTGCGAATGATGTAAATGAAAGGAAAAAATACTCCCGGAACCAGTGCCGCTTGACAGTTGTTGTCAGATGTCATTGGTTATTTCAAATATGAAATTTAACTTTAAAATTTTTAATTTAAACAGCTTTGGAGAATTCGATGTTTCCCCATTCGAAGAGATACGAGCTATACTTGCACGACTGAAATAGCTGCCTGAGAGGCGTTTCAAACATGGCCTGAGAGTGAAATGAATTAGCCTTAAAGGGACTTTGATCCACACTTTATAGCGCATCAAATCAAGCAGGCGTTAAAGGAAAGGCATTACCTGTGAGAATGCAGGTCTATAAGAATCGCCTTTTGCGTGTGCGTTTCATTGGTGTTGAGTAAAAGTGGGCGGGGCTCCGTTTCACGCAGCTCCGTCTGTTCCTGTTTGTGCTGCTGTTCTAAGCGCCAAGCCGCCATGACATCAGCCTGTTCAGGATATTCCCCGCCCAACCCGACAAGATGGGGGTCGTCCAGACCCCCGTGCTCCTGGATGCTCAGCAGGTTCCGGGACTTCACTGTGGAAAGAACGAAGCGTCTCGGCTGAGCATTTGTGATTGGATCACCTGAGATGGATATTAATATCAAGGCCTGAAATCAAGAGAGCATCTCTTTTATTAGTTCTAGTCTATAGTCAGTGGCGTTTTGTTGGAGCTGAGCATTAACTGAATAACATGCGTGGGAGAACCGTGATGGAGGGAGATCGGAGATCAGCGATGATGAACTGATCGCTCTGCTTTTAAAGGCATGATAATTACTGCCCCACTCAACCACTGATAATGACTCTCAGAAGCTCAAGAGTGAGGCGCAGCCGACTACAGCCTCTTAATATGGATCCAAATACAGCCATTCCTCTATTCATTAGTCAGCGAGAGACAGAGAATAATGAGCAAATTACAGGAGGGATTGCAATAGACACAAGCGGCTCTTGTTAAATCGAAATTTTAGACACCAAATAAACAGCCTCGGACAACTGATATGCGTAAAAGATTTGCATATCATTATACATTTAAAAAAGTTGACATTTTCAAACATAAGGCACATCTTGAAAGATCATTATTGATTTTATTGATATTAAATAACAATGTAATATAATTAAATAATTTATTATGTGTGTGTGTGTGTGTGTGTGTGTGTGTGTGTGTATATATATATATATATATATATATTACATGTTAATTTATTTTGTGTACATGTAAAATAAGTCTTTTTATTCTCGAATAAAATAAATTATTTTAATTATTTAATTATTTAAATAATTAAAAACAAATTACTTTAGGCAAATAAACAGCCTCAACTGATGTGTAAAATTGGAAGATGATTACTGATTTTAATTGATATTAAAGGGACACTATGCAGCTTTTTTAGCTTAACTGAACAGCTTCAGAGTTATTGAAATGGTTATATAACTTCTTTCGGGTTGAATGGTGGGCGTCTCGACCCCCCCTGGTGCCTGTGAGCGAAAAAATCCCACTTGCAACTTCGGTGCGGCGGGCCGCGTCAGGAAGTATCGCGTGATATCAGCTCTCGCGATGTAACATATTCCTTTAGGGCAACTGCACACATACACACAGGAACAAGGTATAGATGGATGGAGTTTGTCACACTATCGTCATGGCTGAGCCAGCATATAAGATGCAGAAAGCTAGGAAAGCATTGTCGGAGGAACAGAGAAAGAGGAAACGGCAGACTGACCGAGCGAGGAGTCGGACACGAGCATAGGCATAATTTGCGGGTGTGTTATGTCCCCATTGAAACTTCTCGCGGCACGGATGTAACGTTACCATTACAAACAAATAAAACATCTCCAGGTAACTCTAGTAGAGCATTCATTTCGTTCGTTTGTTAAATAAGAGGCGATCTGAAATGTGTTATTTTTGAAATCAAGTGACCAAAGTGCTCGTTGCCTCTGCGATCAGTGGTGCAGATAAGTTACAGTGTTCTGTTGTGACGCGCGCCTGAATTCGTTGCGGGGACTGAGAGACTCTCTATATTTTGTTATGGTAAAATCACAAAACCTAATGCACAAAAAACATGTCCCTGCTTGAAATACAACCACTAATAAACAATCGGTTTTGATGAGGAAAATAAACTATACTACTAGTACCGATTAGAACCCAGAACCTCTGACACACTTGGCAAAAGTTCTGCCTCTGGACCATTAAAATTGTCGGATCTATGTATTTAATCACGTGAAAATTCTCACCACTAACAACATATATTATATCTCATTAAACGACAAATTAAACACAATGTACTATTGTATACTATGTAACAGGCCATGTCACGCTCTGAGTGAGTGGTATTTACGACAGTCACGTTAAATTCAAGTACTCCACAGTAACTCTAGGGGTCGCTGTTTGACAAAAACGGGATTTCTGCATAATGCCCCTTTAAATAACAATTTAATATATTTTATTAATCTATTATATTTATATATATATGTTTATATTAGGGCTGTCAAACGATTAATCGCGATTAATCGCATCCAAAATAAAAGTCTGTGTTTACATAATATATGTGTGTGTACTGTGTATAATTATTTTTAATACATAAATACCCACACATGCATGTGTATTTAAGAAATATTTGCATGTATATACTGTATATAGACTGAATGTAGCCTATATATAATGTATATTTTATATAAATATAAACATTTAATATATAAATAACATTTTTCTGAAATATATACGTGTGTGCATTTATATACAAAATAATTATACACAGTACACACACATATATTATGTAAACACAGACTTTTATTTTGGATGCGATTAATCGTGATTAATCTTTCGAAAGCCCTAGTTTATATATACACTGTATGTGTATATGCATTTTTTTGTAAGTACATGTGTAATAAGTCTTTTTCAAATAACTGAATAATAAAAGAAATAATTTAAATGATTATATTATTTTACAGTTTAAATTAAATTACTTAAAAGCTGACTTACTTATATCCAACTATTTCATGACCATGACTTCTTTTGCAAGTACACGTATAATAAGTCTTTTCCCTCAGATCGCAAAACTGTGGTTTAAATAAAACTAATTTATTTCAATTTTTAAAAATCCAAATGATTTAAAACTAAATTCAATATTTCACGTCCATGTTTTGTGTGCTCTAGCACAACCCTAGCATGCGCACCTGTAGCAGTGTATGACTCCTGTATGGAGATCTCTCTGGTCAGGCCTGTTTTGGTGATAGAGGAGCAGGGGCTCAGGCCTTGGTAGAAACTCCCCAAGAACACCGAGAAACACAGAACCACCACCTGCACAAGAACAAAAACCAACACAGGCTTTATCCAAATATAGCAATACTTCTGTTTGTGTTCCCTCATTCTCTAGTCTCTCTCTCTCTCACACACACACACACATCAGGAAGCTCTCACCATGAGGCATGTGGAGGTCTGGGTGCCCGTCACCCGGCATGACCGCGGGACCTTTCCTGCCACCACCGCCTGCAGCGAGTGCAGCTGCTGCAGCAGAGACCTGAGACACACACATTTACATAATCAATACAAATCAGTTTGCATATGATGTATAATTAATCACTGAAAAATCAACCCGCAAAGGAAACAAAGTGCGAAAATAAATTACTAGAAAATTATATAATGATCACCTTAAGGTGTAGTAGTGTATATAAATGGAAAGGTTTGAGGGTCTTACTTGTTGGTGCACTCCAGTGTTTCAACTTTCCTGCGTAACTCATTGTTCTCGCTGGAGCATGTCTCCACCCTGTGGACGGAGAGGGTATTGCAATGTCACATGAGTTTCATCAAAATCCCTTTCAAGGAAGTCTGTTCAGTCGGCGGCTGTATTTGCAACGCCTCCGCCGGGCAGCTATTTCAGGCATCAAAGACCAAGTCCTATCTACTTAAACAGGGGAATCCTGAAATCTCAAAAACTGCTTGCCAAACTCGCAATTAAATAACATATTTCATATCAGCATTTCTTATTAAAGAGTGCACCATCTTTTTTTTTATATCTTAAGTGTTTGGTTTCATGTATCTACCAAAATATTTTACCTGTAAATCCTTGCAAAGTGAAACTGGATTTGCAACCCATTTTACTTTTATTAATGAGAAGAAAGAAAAAAAACAGGACTGGTTTCAGAAGTGGAGCAAGATATACTTTATACTTTAATGAATAAAAATTGGAATAATGTGCACAGATGAATCATTCACAACAATATGAACATTCATTATGCATTTAAGAAGTAAACAGAGTCCGTTTCTGATTTCACGTTGACTTTAAGAGTCACTGAGTGACAACAGCCTTTTACTCTTGATCAACTTGATCTTTAAACTTCATACTTAATGCTAAAATTACAATGTGATCGTGATCAAATCAGACTTACTTCTTTTCTAAAGCATCCATGTACTCTTTCTTTTTCCTGCGGCTCTCTTGAGCTGAAATCTGACAAAGGGAAATGATTTTTGTTAGTGTCTCGGACATTAAATTTAGTACTTAGTATGCATCGTCTTTACACAAGGCTGAAGTCTGACACCAACCTTGTTCTTGATCTTTCTGCGAATCTTCTTCAGCGCTTTCTCCTCGGCCTTGGACAGCGGCAGCTTGGTGGGCACCGGGTATCCTTCAGCAATGAGCGTGCGTTTCTCCTCCTCAGTGAGCAGGAGAGGACCTGAGCCCTGCAGTTTCTGTCAGGAGAGACCAGAGGAGGTCGCTTGACCATCTTCTTTAATAAAATCGAACAATGAACAAGATTTGGTGGTACTCACATGGGGTGCCGTCAGCAGAGGAGAGTTGGAGAGGGAAGAAGGGGCTCTTGGCGCCACCTTGAGGACAGCGGGGGTCTGTGTGGGGCTGGCGGGGGCACAGGGGTGTACAGGGCTCTGACTTCCCTCAGAGTCGCTGCCGTGAGAGCTGGGAGGAGTGGGCGGCATGTGCAGAGACTCCAGGCCTGGAGAAAAACATTACAGATCGATTCTGATTGGGCAAATATTTGTAATGTACAAATTGTCCGCATAGCTGTGCTACATTCATGTCTCCTGTATCACTCTGAAATCTTGTTTCACATGTGTGATTCATCTTTTTGTATTCAAATAATATAAGATAAACTATTTAAATCATTACGTGATTAAATGATCATTTAAATTAAAATATTTAAATGATTAAAATGAAATTATTTTAAAATTGATTGATTTTTTTTAAATCTGTAAGTACTCACATAAGGCTTGTTCTCAAATAACTAAAATTAAATTAATGTACATTCAAATATTTAAATAAAATTATTTAAAACTAAAATCAATATTTCATATCCATTTGTTTTTTTCTTTAAGTACACAGGAGTTTTAGATTTCAAATAACTAACTAAAAATTATTAAATGATTGCTAAAATAATTGAAATTAAAATATTTCAATTAGTACAATTAAATGATTTGAAACTAAAATCAATATTTCATTTTTATTGTTTTGGTAAGTACATGTAATACATATTTCTTTCTTCTCAAATAAGTATATAATTTGAATTATTAAAATACATTTATTGTATTTAAAACTAAAATCAAAAACTTTTTTCTGGAAGTGCACAAGTGTATGATAATGTACAGTCAGCAGGTCATTATTGAAAAATATCACCTTGTTTATGATAATGACCATGTACCTGTCCAAAACAACATTTTCTAGAGACTGTTTTTCAATATGTTATATGTTATTCTATTTCAAATGTTTCAATTGGCCTAATTGAATTTCCGTGAATCAAATTTTAGAAATTGTGGCAACAGTCTGATAACATGGGCTCATCCAGAAATAATCAGAGTCAATGGAAAAATTCAGTCTTGTTGATCCAATTAAATAACTTCAATTGTAGTAGCAATCTTATTTCTCAGTCCCAAAAGAAAAAAGAAAATTGTGTGAAAAACATTAATACATTAAGCAAAATACAGAACACAGACAACAGGCTTGACATTTTATCACATCACTTTATTAACAAATCAATTCCAACATGATATTTGGTGAAAATACCTTATTTTAAATAAGGAAAAACACTGAATACATTCAAGAAGTCTTCAGAAGTAACAGGATGTCTGGATGTGGTGAAGGAAACTTTCAAAAGCAGCACTGCATGGGTTAAAAACCTGCAAATAGAAATAAAAGCGAACATTAAATGACAAAGTTCCCCCGCATCACATCTGGCAAGTGACAGAACAGAAGTTACTCAATTATATAATGAGGATGAGACAGTCAGTCGATGTAGATTTTGCTTTATCTTTTATTTCATGGTGTGTAAATATATATGTCGCATGGCACACATATCACACAAATTACATCTCAGAAGTCGATAAAAACGGTATTTTAGACATACCATCAAATAATTATGTGGTAACCAGGAAAACACAATCATGAAACCAATGCCACTGCTAAATGCCTTTTAAACTTCCTAGGGTCCAAAAGCAAACCTTTGGACAATCATTTCAGTGCTCAATACTCACCATAACGTCTTGAAACTTGTGACGATGAATATCTGTATTCTCTTGGGAATGTTTGCTCCGGTCTTCAGCCCCGGCTGGTTCTGCTCCGTTCGCTCTCCCGCGAATCAATCCGCATTTGAATTCTCGCATGCACATACAGTTTTTTGGATGTAGGACTTTTATTGAGCCAATATGGAATTGTCAGTTTCCACAATTTTTCTAAATATTTTTTTTTTTACAGTGCACATTACATCTTGTATTAATAATGGACTTGATACTATTACCAGTGATCTTTATTTTCAGTGCAATAACACAAAAATGTCTGAAACGGTGTTCTACCTTTGGATGAGAGGTTTAAGAACTGATCGACCTCGTGTGGCTCCAGCTTAATCTGAGGGTTGAAACTCTCACTGCCCTCTTTCACCTGCAACAACACACATACATCAGCACTTCAATCAAATCACACTCATTCAAGCACTGACTATATGGATGTTGTCATGCTCATATTGAGCGGTTTAACCTGTGCGGCCTGAGGGAGGGTCCGAGACAGGCTGGGGTCAGTCACAGGCTCAGCCGCGGGACCCTCGGGGGTCAGAGTGAGGGTCAGGGTGGGCAGCAGGACGGGTGGGTCACACAGGAGGGGCTCCATCTTCAGCCCTTTATCTTCCTGCTCCATGGGCCACTCGTCATTATCTGAATCACCTAATAAAGCAGGAGTTCAATCACAGATGCAAGACACGACATATACATGTGAACTTATTTGCATTTAAAGGGTACCTATTGTGCTTTTATTTGATTTGACCTTTTCTTTAGTGTGTTATTTAGTTGTTTGTGCATGTAAACAAACTGCAAATTTACAAAGCACAAAGTCCACCCCAAAGGGAGTCAGTCCTGCCATTATTTCTAAGACTTTATCATGCGGTTACATCAGCAGCACATGTATAAATGTGCAGTTTCATACACTGCGCATTTATACATTATTATCCATACATATTTGTTATACACTGATTTTATTATTATTTTATTTTATTATATTATGTTACTTATTACATGTGTGCTTAACCCAAAATTAAATAAATGGACATGAAATAGGGATTAAAACGTTTTAATTGAAATAACTTAATTTAAACAATAATTAAATTGAAAAAAAATAATAATAATTTTTAAATAATTGAAAGATTTTTTAAATAATTTATTTTAAACAATTCACAATTTTATAATTTCAATTTAAATAAAGACTTTGAACTTGTAAATGAGCATAATATGGGCATTTTAAGACTAAACTAAACTAGGCGAAATCTTACCAGCATCACTGCCTGGTTCCCCGGGCAGATGGGAAAGGGGCGACTGTGGGCGTGAGTCTCCACACAGCGAGTAACTGTGTTCAGCTTGAATGTGTGGTGGCACTGGAGATGCAGGGGTCAGTTCCTCCTCTGTGTCCATGGCATCTCCACGCCCGGACAGGAACGGGTCGCTTAACAACTGCCCCAGCAAAGCTTCTTGGGACAGATCATCAAGGAGCTCGGTGAAGTGCTGCACAGGAAAAACAGGAATTTGGAGTTCAAATGAAGTGCTCATTAAACCACAGCTTGTTAAATAGTCCTTAATTGCAAATCATAAAACATCAGCAAGTTTCTTTGAAGATCAAAAAAGATGTTCAGTGACGTTCTGAAAATGAGGAGGCAAAGTCCTCAAATCAAATCAAATTCATGTCCCAGTTACATGTAATGTTCTCACATTTTCCTGGTTGAATAAACATTACTTTACATTACATAAAAAAATAATTATTTTAAAATGATCAATGTAATTAATGTTCTATTTATTAAAACCAGGTATGAATCTCATTAAGTTAGTGTTTTAAGCATGCACAAAAACAAGAGGCGGGATTTTTTCGCATGAATCTATCATAGCCAATCACATCCAATCATAGCACGATGGAGGCATTGCCTCCTCTCATGTGACTTTCCCCCATTCATTCTCAATTACCCCCCACTGAACCCACCACACGATTTAGGGGGTCTGTTAAAACTTAATGGGCTCAGAGGAGGCTAGAGAGACGCGGCGTCCCGCTTTAACTTTACCCGCTGGTGTCGCTGTTGGCCAGTGTTACTTTAGAAAAACGAGTGATGTATATACTTTTTAATGTCACATTTTGTAGTATGTGCGTTATTTTATTTTTGTAATATGGATTATTTTCTCATCCTTTTTTTTTGTGTGGAAACAGACTAAACATGAGAGCAAGTGCCCACAGGGTAACCCACTCCACCAATCAGAGCGGATTACGCTTTCTCGTGTCCAATCAGACGACTCGTTCTGATCCTGGTGAGGTGGTTTGAATCGGGCCCAAAAAAGACAGACAGCCACCTCTCTTCTCCTTGCCATTCCTATCGGTGCATTCCAGCCCTTCTCACCGCACCTCAACATGGTACCCTACTCCTCAAACAGGTTTGGACAGGCTGAAACCCTTCCAGACATTCATTTTATTTTATCACTTAACACGCAGCACTTGTGCTAACTCGTGCTATGGAGGGTTGCTCCATAGTCTAACAGCAGCAGAACCTCTCAGATTTTCTCCTCAGGGGCTGTTTGAAGGAATGGTTTGAATTCAACAAGTTCAGCATTTTTGACTCGCTGTGGATTACCACAACAAACAAAAAACATGTTTAATGTTGTACAAGCGTGATGGAATTGCTTACAAATGGTGCCTGTGCAAAGTTATAGCAATTGAATTTGAAACAGCTCCATCACAACAGACTGGTCTCCATCTGCACAGATGAGTCAGAGTCCAGGCAGCTCATCCACAGAGAGAGGGTCAATGCAGCTCTGAGATGCACACATTCAAACAACTGCTGTCTCCTCTATGTGCATCTGTTCATGTGAACAACCAGCAGGACCCAACCACACAGTCACGCATGGTGCAATATGCAGGTCTTTGGGTTCAGCCAACAAAGGCAGATTATAAGATCAAACAATGCTGCTTTGACTAGCACAATCTGATCCAGCAGGATATGATGCTTGGTGCTGCTGACTGACTGACAGTAATATAGCACACAACAGACCTACACCGTGTTGAAATTGCATACTATATAGTAGGAAGGCTACATTTGGTTTGAAACTTGCTTAGTGACCATTAAAAAAAAAAAGTATGATCTATATAGTATGAATGAAATTTGAACTTACTACATCCACCATGTTGTTATTGTCACATGACCTAGAGTTGCGTCGCTTCACCACTATTCACAAAGCCTCTCCCGTGGCCTCATGGGATAGTAAAGTGCCCATCAAATGTGCACTTCAGAATCTCGCCGCAAGTAGTAGGTCATCCGGGTACTTTTCGCTTACTGTTTTTCGAATACTATGTATACTACGCTGTGCTGTTTTTCACATACTTGTATTAGCGAATTATTCCGTTTTTGGCAGTATCTGGTAGAAGCTGAAATGCATTTACAGTATGTTGAAGTGCATACTTATTGCGGTGCATAGTGTACTTGTCAAGGCCACCTAGCAGATATCAGATTGGCTAACACTAACTATAAACAGAACGGCCTGTCAACATTATGTCATTTGAGGCAGGGCTGCCAACTCTCACGCATTCAACGTGAGACTCACGCAATTGAGCCAATTCTCACGCCACACCCCCGATTTCTCACGCTGAAGTCTCAACCCGGTCGTTCAAATGCCTGAAAGATAAATTTATCTATAGATCTACCAGTTGAGCCATTCGTGATCGACTAGTTTTACCGCAAACTAGTTAAAATATCCTGTAATCTAGAGCGAGCGTGCATGCGAGACAGATGTGTTGAGCTCCTAACGGCGCGGTCCTAACCGCGCACGCGCACGACGGCAGAGAGGTAAGCGAGCGAAAGAGCTTGCGTGTCTTTCGCAACACAAGTGGGAGAAAACAAAACTGAGGCTCTGTTCCAGAAAAAAAAAAGCAGAGAACTTATTTTCATACCTAGCCTGATGTCTACATATGCATCTTTCTAACCCTAACTGAAAAAGATTATTTAAGATTAACAGAGCCGGACAGTAACGGAGTACATTTACTTGAGTACAGTACTTGAGTACAATTTTGAGGGATCTGTACTTTACTCGAGTATCATTTTTGGGCATTACTCATGACTTTACTCAAGTACATTTGAGAGGCAAATATTGTACTCTTTACTCCACTACATTTCTATCCATAACCGTGAATATACCCGTTACTTCTAAAAAAAAAAAGAAAAAAAAAGGAAAAAAGAAAATTCTCGGAAACCCTCAATTTGTTGTTTCCCTCTCAAACGTGATTGGATTGTGCAGGCGCCACTAATTGGGACAGCCTATCAGCAAATCACCTTCACCTTCAGCTCTGAACTGACGCCAAAGTAAACTCCATGGTCAGATTTAGATAAGAGACGAGACCATGGACGAAACAGGTTCAAATGTAGAAACATTAAAACTCTAGAAGAGGTTTGTCAGAGCGTTGCCATTGTGCATTGCCTTGTGGGCAAGTGAGAAATGTTAAATAAGGCAACATGGTAAAAAGATGAAAATGACTTTAATTAACTTTCAATTCCTTTTAGATTATCAAAGGTATTAACATTAACATTTTTCATAACTCCATGTAGGACGTTTCTGTACATAAATGTAAGCACGGTTCACGTACCTACCCCGAAGTGATAAAAAAAAATTCTGTATCAAATTTATAGGCAAAGACAAGTAGTTTGTTTAGGCATGGTTTGTAGGGAATTACAAACCTACACACATATATTCGAACACACATAACTATAGAATCAATTCTTAACCCGCATGTGAACGCCATCAGCGTTTATCACAGGTTCGCGTTTAAAGTCTGTTTAGAGAGAACGGCGTCGTCTTAGCGGCCCCTAATTTTAATAACAAATGATCATTTCGACCGGAAGTGAATCAATCAAAACTAACTTTAGCTGGAAATAACATTATTCAAGAATCGCTATAAAGCCAAAACAATCTCTGTTACCTTAAATTATGTTCTCTGTAAAGCCACTTTGAAACAATCTACATTGTTAAAAGCGCTTTATAAATGAAGATGACTTGAAACTGTGGCAGTAGTAATGCAATATTTAGAAAATTTACTCTTGTACTCTTGATACTCAAGTACTTTTAAAAACAAGTACTTCAGCACTTTTACTTAAGTAGACATTTGACTGTAGTACTTTTACTTGTACTTGAGTAAAATTTAGCAAGGGCTATCTGTACTTTTACTCAAGTAACAAAGCTCTGTACTCTGTCCGCCTCTGAAGATTAAACCCTAACTGATTTTTTGGAATGCTCCTCATAGTAACGTGCAGTAACTTTGCGCGTCACACAAAAAGTTCCCCACACAAAATGTTTGCAAATGTGTCGAGCACCTGCATTCGTGCACACTATCAAATGAACACAGATGCCTAAACATGCTGTCTAGGTAGGCAGCTCACAAGGCAGCCTCCAGGAAACACGTTAGAGAAATGAGTTAAACAGAGCAAACTAGGAAGGAAAGCGGTGCAGTTGGGGATCAAAATGGAGAGAATCCAGCGTATGGGATCAATTACAAACTGACTCAGATCCAGAGGTTAGCCAAGTCAAAAAACAGACAAACAAAGAGAGAAAAGAAAACAGCTAAATTAATACACAAAGCAACATGAAAAATTAAAGAGAGAACAAGAGAAAGCATGGGTTGTAAGGATTGACAAAGCCGCTCTGGAATGCCTTGTCCTATATTTTCCACTTTTGTTACTCAACAGAACGCTCTGTCTGGACAGCCGACCTCGGTGAGAAAACGTCTGGACGTGCATGAGAAATGCATGCAGGTGTTCCAACAGCGCCTGCCGCCCACCCCAAACACATTTTAAGTATGTGTTCATATAAGCAGTTCTCTAAAAATGTCTCTAGTGAACTTGCTTGAACTCCATATTTGGCAAAGAACTGCTTTTCTGGAATGTCTTCTTCGACCAAAAACCATAGCAAAAAAAACATCTATACGGCAAGCAGTCAGGAGTGGGTGAAGTTATCAAGAGGTGACATAACATGGTTGTCATCTTCTAGGTGCATTTGCAGCAGTCATTTCCATTTCACTGCAAAATTGATGAATTCTCACATGGTGGGGGTATGACTGTACAGAGTCACCATATTATTATGCCATTCCTGCATCAGTCATGGGCGATATGCAATTACATCTGACACTCTTGAGTGTGTGATAAGATGATTATGATGATTGCTGAAAATTGCTGGGTGTCGACTGCTCTCTAAGAGGAATATAAGAGACCGCTCACTTGGAGGAGGACAGACGTGAGGTTTCCTAAGGTTCAAGGATAGAAATAATCACTTCTAAGTGCCTGTTTGGGATCAGTTCCTTCACCACCAGATGGCAATGGAATAGAAGTGCACTGCATTCGGCACAGTCTATACTTCATTTAAATACCATCATCATCTCAGAAATAAATATGATTGTCCATTTTCATTAGGCCTGTCGCAATTATTAATTAATCATCTAATCGTGCATGTTATTCAATCTAATCGCAATTATTTGAGATAAC